ACTGGTTGATTTTTTATATCCCTTCCAATACAAGCCATTCTGTGATTATATGATAGAGCGATGATATATTAGAATTGCTGGTGTTGCAGGAGACAACATGGTTGGGCTGTTGTCCACAGCTTTTTCTATCCGTGGAGATTTTTGACTCAAAAAACCCTGAACTTATTACATCTTTTGAAAATCAATCGTGATCTTAAGTTGCTCTCTAAAATACAATAGTTTATTGCCTGTATTTGATAAAGGGTCCTTACAGTGATAGAATATGATACTAACTACTCTAGATGATTTCCAGTAGAGCTGTATCAGTTAAAATCACAGGAATTTTACCTGGTTTTATGCAACGTCTGCTTTCTTTCAGTAGTGCAGCAAATTTCATTAAGAAGATGGTATTCACTATATATTGTTAAAATATTAGAGTTTGAACCTAGAGGTATGGGACTTTGTTAGCATGTCACAAAAATAACTGTTCATTATTAAAACCCTGGGGCAATGCATTTGGGCCACACAAAAGGATTTAGTCCTTCCCCAAGAGTGGCAGATTTTCCCAAAACTAATAGGGGCATCTTTTAGACAGCTTTTAGTGCAAGCTTTCGTTGTTCTTTGCAGCTTCTCAGGTATGAGTCTTCGGTTTCCTCTCTCCATCCAGTTGCCAACTCGAGCATAGCAAAACTTCCATCACCTCCATGCCCCACATGGCTGGTGTGGCCTTTTTCATACTGGCAACTGCTCTGTGCACCCAGCTGTCTGCCTGCCTTTCGTGTGGGGATTATCTGATTTTAGAAAAGCCAGTTCCTTTAACAGCCTTTGACAGCAGCAAACAAAAATTGACATCCCAAACTAATTGGCCTGCCTCCTTGTAGAATCAGTCTCATCTAGTTTAATTATAACAAATTACAACTTAGGAGCTCTTTTGTACACTGAAGAGGTTTCTTTTCAAATTGGTAAAATGTTTCTTCCATCCAAAACTTCCACATCTGCAAGCTGTTTTTTTGTTTTGTTTTGTTTTTCTGAAATAAATTCAGCTCCTACCCACTGTGCTAAATGTCTTGTTAGAATCTGGTTCTTTAGTGCCCTAAATGGTGATGATACCATGTCATTTCTGGCCAGAACTGCCGTTTTTACATCAGAGTGGCAGCACTGTCTCCTTAGGTACCATTTGAGGAATAGTGAGGTACAGCCACATCAGTTGGAGGATTCCCTCATCCATACAACTGTGAAGAAGTGCTCTTTGTCCTCTCTATTCAGGAAGCCAACTATCTCTAAAGCATAACTGGGGAAAAGCCTGAAAGATTAGTTAATTTACACCAAAAGAAGATCACAAATTTTGTGTATAATCAAGAAATTCAGATCTTTACTATTTCCTATCAAGTTCACTGCTGCAGGATTTGCCCCTTAGAATTGTGCTTGTATTATATTCTGGTGATCTGCTTGCAGTATGCCAGAACATCCCTGATCACCTTTGTGTACCAATAGCCTTCTGCTTCACTGTAATGGGTCACAAGGCTTTCCAGGTCTCTAAATACTTGCTTAGCAGCTGAGGACAGAAATCTAGCCTGTCCTGCTTGTTTTCAGCATCTGTGTGTCAGATGTACTTTTTTTTCCCCGGGTTGAAAGGTAATAGCAGATAAATGATGGTTTCTTGCCATAATTTCAATTTCTTTCATACAAATCATAATTCAAATGTTTTTCTTTGATTTTAAACAAATTAAGCATCTGGATTTATTCCTGTCTCTTCATAAGAGTCTGCTCATCAGCCATGCTACACAGCCTCATATATGATAATATTGTGGCGTAGCTGCTATGGCGCGGTCTATTGCCTTTCAATACCAGCAGCAGACTCTGGTGATAGTCTCCCTAAATGTCATCCATGCATAAACAACACTGGGAAAGCAAAAATCATTCTCCTTGTTCGGCTTATTCCCTTGGAACCTAATATCACAGCTTTAAACTTACTTTTTTTTTTTTCCTATTTATTTCACATGAGCCTTATAGCAAATGTTATCAAAATACTCAGGTGAGTCCATGCCAAGCAGACTCACTGAGGTTGAATTATAAGTTGACTGAACGTAACTCCAAGAATAATCTAAATTCTTTTTTTTCCACGGTATTGTGTATCTGCCCAATTAGTAGAGCATCATATTCAAGGAGGGATTACAGCATTTCCTAACACATCACATAACTGGAATGAGAACAGTACTACATGTGAGCAAACAAATCTGCTACCTGCATTGTCCCATATTGTTCAATAACAGGTCACTAGGGTGTATTTATCTCTCTTTATCTGTGTAGCCATAAACAGAACAACAAGCAGGTGTAAAGACCCAAGTGCTGGGGCAGATGAAAGCCAACAACATTGTTTAAATAACCTTGGTCTGATATTCATAAGCCACACACCAATATGTTGTATCTTCTTTGCAAGTAAAGCTGTCTGGCTTAAAGGTTGCAGAGAGATTCTCAGAGAGATTCCCAATCCTTCTGTACCACTCTTACACATACATATTCACATATTGTGTTTTGGTTTATGAAGGCTGTACAATTAAAATAAGTCTGTTTGATCTGAAGCTTTCACGAGCAGTTGTATCTACACTGCTGTAGGGAGTATTCCTCTGGGACACCAAAATTTCTCCTACAGAAACTGTCGCCTGCCCACACCTATGACTCATCCTGGCTAGCAGCTCTGGAGGGAGCCCACAGGAATCCAAAGCGTAGGGAGGAGAAATCAGTCCTGGCAGCCACAGCCAGATCCCAGCTCTAGGCTATATGGCCTGCACCAGCCTGCTGAGAAACAGCCCTGGGACCTCCACCAAATTCCTCCCTGTCTTTTCTGGGAGCTACGTTTAACTGCATATAAACCCAGGCCCTGAGCTGTGCTGTGCTTTTCCCTGGCCAGGGACCTGGCTGACCCTGACTGCTTCCTGGAGTGCTGAGTCCAGCCCTGGGCTCCCCAGTATGAGAGACATAGAGCTATTGGAAAGAGTCCAGTGAAGGTCCATGAAGATGATGAAGGAACAGGAGCATCTTTCCTGTGAGAAAAGTCTGAGAGAACTGGAACTGCTTAGCCTGTATTAGAGGGGTGTGAAGGGGATTTCATCAATGCCTGTAAGTACCCAAGGGGATGGTGCAAAGAGGACAGAGCCAGTCTTTAATCAATGGTGTCCAGTGCCAGGAGAAGAGGCAATGGGCACAAATTGCAACACAGGAGGTACTTTCTGAACACCGGGCAGCACTTCTGTGCTGTGCAGTTGATGGAGCACAGGCTGCCCAGAGGCTGTGTAGTTTCCTTCTTTGAGATCTTCAAAAGCTTCCTGTATGTGGGACTGGGCACCCTGTTCTGCTGCCCCTGTTTGGGCAAGGGTTGTGCCAGACCTCTTCCACCACCAGCCATTCTATGATTCTGTGATCTGAATCACTGTCTCCTAGCTCTGCCTCAGACCTGCCTCATCGTAATCATCTTTTCTGTTTCTCTCTGAATTGTACCACTGTTTTCATTGGACATTAGGGGTCAGGGCCCACCAACTGGTTTCCCCCCCCTCACTAATCATACTTCTCCTACTTCCCCTAACAGAGAATTATGTTACACCTTTGTTCTGACCCCAACTCTTCCACACTTCTCCTCACTCTCTAGGTTGGGAAGGGGACTCTTGTTATTCGACTATGTAAAGTATCCTCCTCTGACACGACAAGATGAACCAGAGAGAGATAGACTGTGTTAGCTGAGGACAAAGGATCTTGGCATGTAGTCCATTTGTTGATTTGTGATATGCCAGGATTTTCCCAAATTTGCCAAAAGCCTTTGCATGCTCTATTTTCACTGGTGACAGGAGACAGGACAAGGGGAAATGGCCTTGAGTTGCACCAGGCTAAGTTTAGGTTGGATATCAGGAAAAATGTATTTACAGAAAGGGTTGTTAAGCACTGGAATAGGCTCCTCAGTTGAGTCACCATCCCTGGATGTGTTTAAAAACCATTTGGATGTGGTGCTCAGGGACATGATTTAGCAGAGGGTTGTTAGTTAGAGTAGTATAGTTAAGTTGTGTTGGACTCGATGATCTTGAAAAGCTTTTCCAACTTGAGCGATTCTATGATTCCATGATTCTATGATTCTATAGATTTTATTTAGGATTAGAAAATATTTGGCCTTCTCAGGCAAGCAAATATGTAAAGCTGTGTTCAAGAGATGAGTTTATGATGCGCGTTTGATGACAAACCCATGTGCAAGAGCACATAAAGATATTATCTTTATCACAGATAAATATATTTATGTGCTCTTATAAAGATGTTACCATCCTAATTTAGATTTCATCTTGTTAAATATTTGATTCAGAAGCATGATTAACAGTTGTGTGAAAAGTATCTGATTTAAAAGACATTCCCCAGACTCTGTCCAGTCAGTAAGAAATTAAACCTCTGACTATTTTAACTTGTTTCTTATTGCAAGAATCTGAAAAGAAAATCAAAAATAGAGAAGGAAGAGAGATCTGGGAAAAGAAATAAATCAGTCTCACAAAAGGGAACTTGATAAAAGCAAACTAGGTAGTTGAAGTAGGAAAAAAAAAGAGAATTTTTTTTTTTTTTTTTTTTTTTTTAACATCACCAGGACTATTTGCTAGAATGAAAATCCCCATAGCACATATGCACACAGACAGGTACCTTTACCATTGCTTTTATCGTACTACAGGGTTTCAAAACCTCTGACTGGTTTTACAGTCTTTCATCATTAAAATTTAATATGCCAAGGACTATGGATTCAAAGGAGTATTAAAAGTTACGATTTAACTGTTGTTCTGCTGTGCACATCATGCCACCTCATGGATAGTGGTAGAAATACCGTGCTCAAGATTGGTATTTCAAAAATAAGCAGTAGAGAAAAAATAATAGCACATCTACATTATTAGTGAATTATCACAAGCCCCATTGGGACCAATCAATACAAAGTGCTAATATGCAATTGTTGAATTATATCTTATACGTAAGGACAAAACACCATAAAACACACCTCCTTTTAAGAGTTGAATATGTTTTATTGCAAACATATTACTAACATAACATTTAGCCCAGATCTGACTTAGTGCCCCAAAGAACTTGTCCTTTCAGACAATTCAGACATTCCCATGTCTGCCTGTTTTTGGTAGGTTAGCTGGAAACACATGGTTATCATCTCCAAAAAGCATCATTTCTTTGTTTCTGTCACTCCAGTAACAGGCAGTATTATTCATTTACAGTTGGATAACTAACACAAAATTCCAGTACTGGTTATGGGCAATATACACTTAAATGTCAGGAATGGATTTCAGAGTGACCTAAAAGCCTTACCTCTAAAAAATCCCAAAAGATGATTTACAATTTGTTCAGAAATTCATAATATACCAGTAACAACTGGATTATATTTTTTTATTGGAATGAATTACACACTGAAACAGCACTTAAAGCCAGGAGGATCGATGGGGCTGCAGCATACAATCCGTTAGATTGTGCCCAGCCTGTCAGCTACACTGAAATCATTTGTTTGTTAAAAGCCATCGGTTGGACTCAGGAATGTGTAGAAGTAGATTCTTTTCACTTAGGTTTATGGATTTTTTTATGAGGAACTTAGAAATTTGGAAGCCCAGTCACCTGACAGGTAATCAACTTCTATATTTGGGTATTCCAATCCCATCCAGGAACAAGCCTGAGAAACATGAAACAAATGTAGTTCTAAATCTTTCCTTTCTTCTTTTGTGATCTTCCAATTCAGCTTCAGGCTGTTCAGAGAATGGTCAACTCCTGAATACCTGAGGAAATCTAAATAGACCAAAAACATATTTAAATGAAAACATTTATTAGTCAGGCATGCATGTTCCTCCCTGATAACTGGAAATGAGGTGTCAAAAATGTAAATCTCTTTTCTATGACCTAGTTAAGTAAAAACCAGATACCCAGTCCAAGACACTTGAGAAATGACTATGCAAAGCTGCAAATAATTCTTCCTTTTTCCTTCATGACAAAGGAGAGAGAAACCTTACTTGGTTTTATCTCTTTTTTTTATAAAGGGAACTAGTAGGTTAACATTGCAAAAGTGAACGTCGACATGAGGAACCTTTTGCACTTTGAAATCCAGCTTTTGTTCTTAGCTGTTAGAAAAAGGGTGTGTGCCTTGCTTTTGATTCAATTTGATCCAGATAGTTTTTCATTCTATCAGTTTTCTTATATCTAGAAAGCCTGCAGATGGGTTCTTTCTCCTTTTTGCTGTGAATGCACTTGGAGCAGTGATCAGCTGTACAAAATTATTGATGCATTTATAGATTGTCTTCATTTTTTTAGCTTGCCAAATTTTATATTTCCAAAAGATTACTTACTGTTCAAATACATTAAAATGTTACTGTCATCAGAAAAAAAAAAAAAAAAGAAAAAAGAAAAAAAAAAAAAGCTGTTTACAGTTATTGGTAAACAAAATGCAGAAAGGCCAGTTTTTATCTTTGCAATGCAAAAACATCTGACCACCCTTAAAGCTCTTTCTGGGGACTATTTAAACAACATTGCAGTAATTACTCCCTACCTTTGAGATGCTTTCTTTCCATCCAGTAGAACTATTACAACTCTGTTCTGTATGATGGATAATTATGCATACAATTACTCAGAATGTTGAATGTGAGGGATCCTTAACAAACAGAGTTTCTGCTTCCAAAATTGCATATAGATGACTTCCTGGCACTGGCTGAAATATCCACCCAAAAGCTGTCTTCTGTTAGCACTCACCTCTTATATAATGGTCTTCAGAATGACTGATGAAAACTTGCCTGGAGCAACACGTTAGTAAATAAATAGTGTGTAGATGCGTCTTTGTCCTCTTGCAGAAGAATGAAGACCCAGCTTCCTCAGTGGATGTGGCTACTTACTGTAATTTAATGCAGATGTTAATTCAGGTCCAAGCTTTACCGGAAACGAAGTAGAAAATGCAGCCCTTCTCTCTTTACGCTAGGAAATTGCACAGTAAGGGTGCTGTGTTTGCAACAGAAACTTCAAGAAAACAGAATGCTCTGGGTTTTTCTGAAGAGCGCTGCTTGGTAGTGAGACCTCAGCCTAATGGCTCAATCTGCACTTGTGGCTGTGACATGGAGTCCTACTCTGAGACCTGGACTGTCATGTTTAAACTCCTGTTACAACATTCCTCTGTTAAATGAGAATGACAATAGTTATGCAGCACTCATCCACAGAAACAATATTTTATTCATGTTTGACTTATTTTAATGTAGTGGAGCCACTGAGTACAAAATATGGTATTTGTTAAACAGCTATACCACTAGCTTCCAGGTCACCTTCTGAGATTCAATTTCCATTGACTCCAGGTGGGAATTGCTATATAATTGCAATGAGAAAGTTGCCAGCAGAGGCCCAAGCCTGAGCCTTGTTTACAAAGCAAACCTGTGCAGGCATCTGTCTCCTCCCTTTGCTTCCAATTCTCTGAAGCCAATCTGATAAGGAAATGACTGAGGTCTGCCCAGTGTTATGTTTACGTATAAAGACGCGGCAGCTGCCTTAACCTTGTTACCTCATGTAGGATAAACTTAGGTAGAATTTTGGGCCCCAAGCACCAGTATTGGTCAAACCAACACTATTGTGTAACTGACACTGACCCCTTTGCATGGTTGTGATCCAGCCAGCTGATACTCCAACCAGCTGGCCTGGTCTGGGAGAAAGCACAGGCCAGAGTTTATTCCCAGTAATCAATATGGATGGATACACCTAAGTTTTAGGTGCCTGTGGATTAGCTGTGCTGGAACATTCAAACAAAAAAATTAGAGCATTTTATTTTCTGCGTGGTCTGACCACAGTGGCAGCTATCCACAACTCGCTGAATAGGTGGTATGTCAACTAAGTTCTCATAGGGGCAGGCATGGTTGTGGTGTCACCACTATGTTGCAAAGCTTCTGTGCTTGGAGCATGCAAAAGTCTCACCACCAGATCCCATGGCAGGAGCAGAAGGCTCGCAATATCCCCAGGTCTCATATCCATTCATATCCCTTCAGAATGGACATAACTCAGGGAGTGTCTTTGTATGTGAATACAGGTGTTGAATTTTGGCTACAATTGAGCTCAGTGTGGGTTGAAGGCTCACAGGCCATAAGGTCTCCCTTGCCTTTTCTTGAACACTTTTTCTTCTCTTTACATACATGAATTTTGAAGAGTACATCAGAGAAGAATACGTAAGAATTCTTCCCTCCATATTCGGTGGGTGGAAGCAATTTAGAATAAAGACATCAGTCATCAAAATAATAACTTCAAGGGCTGTGCAAGGAGCAAAAACCAACAGAAGTACTAGCGGGAAACTAACGGAGAGAGAGGGATTTTTAACTTATATTTAGGTTTTGGATGCCTATGTTTCAAGGTATGTTATGATGGTCTGCAGTCTGATAGTGATGTTGACCACCTTTATATAAAAGGAGAAGGTATTCGTCCTTTATTAAATATGAAGATTATATATAAAAGATTGTGCCACTTTCTTCAAACACAACTTTAATGACTGTTCTTTATAGACAGGACTTCAGTTATGAAGAGCTACACATGAAAGCATATTACTGCGGGGCATGGGGTTATCTTTTTCATTTTCTTATGGATAAATTAGTCAAGCATACCTAAATTCAGGAACTAAGAATAACATGTCGTCATTTACAATACTGGGCTTTATCTTATGTCTCCTTTTCCCACAAGGGAAAAGAGAGAAATGAAAAACAACAGTAATGAAGCCACTTCTGAGGAATGCATTAAGAGACACAAAGAGAAATGTGATATTCTTCGTAAGTGCTACTGATCACTGAAAAAAATGCATAAAAACTTAACTAGGAAATCTGAAAGTCTTCCCACCTTGCCTCCACTTTGGTATTCATTTAAAAAGTAAGTGAGCCACAATAACCCATGTTGCTGTTGACACACCATGAGGTCCTACTGCTCTCGCCAAAAACTTTTTGTTGTGTTAGTCTCTTGTTTTTGCTGGGGACCCTTTGTGTAGGGTTGCAGCCACTATTCTTGGATGTGTCCTTCCTCCCCATTCAGAAATTACACTTGTTGGGCACAATTTTGATCATCATCTGAGGACTCAGGATCCATATTTCTAACGATCTCGTAATCTTTTGGGGAATATGAGCTATCACTTGTGGTGAGTGATAGCTTTGGTCAGGCTATCAGGTTAAGGATATTTGGTGTGAATACACAGGCTGTTAATACAGTTAATCTTAAATCCAGTGTCGCTAGGCACATACACCTCAGACACGGCCTGTTTTATGCTGAGTAGCATGCACTTATTTCAACAACCCTGCAGACAGCTCTCGGTCTTTGGAACTGGCCCCACTGACTGTAATAAAGATGATTACCAGTGATCGCAGCCATAGAAATAGCTGAGTTAGTGCTTGCTGAAGTGACAGTAGCCTGTTCCTTCAGTACACTCAGTGCTCTGCATCACAGTCCTCTTGGGTTAGTGTTTGCATTCTGTATATTAAATAATAAGGTGCGACTTCCATTATTTAACATTCTACCTTCTTCTCATTCTGTGCTGCACAGGAAACTAAAGGATCATTAGGAGAGAAGAGACAGAAAATAAAGTGAAATGCATTGAACTTACATTTTCTTGTTGACTCGTCGTCATTGGCAGTGGGCTGTGGTGCTATGTCCATGCAAATACTGGGACCCAAACAGTGAGGCTGCTGTGTGACCAATAACACAGCAATGTTAACATCACTGTGCTCCTCTGCTGTGTCCCTGTGAGGAGCAAGGAGGAGGGAGAGGTGTACAAGGCTCATTGATCAAAAGGAAAAAATACAGGGAAAATACGAGTGCATGAAATACACTTGTACCCAGTGAGACACTTGGACAGTTTCCACAGATGTCCTTTTCCATCCAGCAGCTTCTATAGCTGCCCATCTACTCTTTCACCTCTTAAGATGCGTCTAGCTCAGTCTACCTCTCATCAGTTTTTGGCCATTCCTACAGTGTGGATGGGAAATGCTGGTGAAGGTAAAGAGCAGCCCAAGTCATACCTTGATTGAGCTGAAAATTGACTGCATGCTTCACAGCTGAGAAGCTGCACATTTCAATCTCCTGTTTGGCAGCAGGACTGTCCCTCCAGTGTAACTGAGAGTGCTGACTGAGGAAGGGCCCATTGGGTCATACTTGCAGGCCCTGTGCAGAGGGTTGGCTTCCACCTTCCTTCTGATGGAGTTCTGATTTCCACTGTGTGATGAAGCCTGGCACAGTGAAATACTTCCTTGCCTGCCAGAATGGTACTTCCTTCCTATTTTTTTCTTGCAGGGAGCTTGGGGAGGCCATGGAATTGGCTCCATTCAATTGGTAGTGTAGGTGCTATTCCACTTGGGTTTGGCTTTCTTACAGTGTTTTTCTGGTAGAATTATCAGCACTGATGGTCAAATGGTAGCTACCTACAGAATATAGGGGTTTCATCCTGTCTTAATTTGTCAGGCTGAGAAGAAAGCATCAACAAATATCTATAACCTTTAGATTTTGCAGTCCAGTGACTGAAGTCTGCAGGTATTTGTTTGAATTAACAATAAAAGTCAACTGGTAAGTCAAATTTCTGAAGTAACTCATAATGTTAACTGACTGCAACTGCCATGTCTTGCTTCTGCTTGCATCCAGGACCTAAGGGCTAGTTTCTCTGATGGCACTGATGTATTCCTTCTCATTTCCATATGTTTGCTGTATTACAGCAGTCGCCTTAGCAAATCCCAGCATACTTGTTACTACGCAATGACTTCCAGCTGGCGGAAGGCATAGCAGGAAAAAAGAAAATGCCATCAGGGGAAGAGAGGCAGCTCAGCACCAGCCATGTGGCAGGTCTGGCCAAAGCCAGCCCAGGCTGGTCATACTCTCGTATCTCCTTACCACTATAATTGTGCCTGGGAAGAGGTTTTTGGCTCTGCTCATCATTACAGGAGGGAAATGGGCTGGGACATGGTACTGGGGAGTGTGATGGCAAGGATAGAGGATGCAGTCAAAGTGTGCAGCCTGGATGCTTGCTGAAGTGAAGCCTCCCCTGAGCTGCCTAGGTTGCAAGTCAGCAAACAGGGTTGTATCTTTCTTTTCAAACTCTCCATATGCTTTCACACTCTTGCACTTACTCTGGCAATGCTGGACAGTGACATTCAGCATCCAGAACTCTGGCTCTGTAGTCCATTGGCTGTGCAAGGGCCCCATCTCCAGGTGGAAATGTCTGCAATGCACTGAGAAAATAACATCAGTGAGAAGGACCCATCCTGGTCGCAGAGCCTCAGTCAGGGTTATTTAGTACCAAGGCAGTCTGCAGCGTAGCTGTGATGATCAAAATTGACCTGCTGCAGACAAAAGAGAAAAGAAGATTGGGCCATAATCAGAAGTGTCTAGAAAGCATGAGGTTTTTCTACTGGAAAATTTCATGAGCAAATTTCCATAGTTAATGGCATCAAATGAGAAGGCTTTGCAGATGCATATTATAGCAAGGTTCAATAAATGTGAGAACAGCAGATGGCTTATATACATCTGAGGAGTTTTTTAATATTTAACAAATAAATGAAGATTGGAGAGGAGTGTCAGTCACACATCTTGTTGCATGTTTAATCAGGCAGCTGAGATGTCCCAAATTTTAATTGTCTTAATTTTTTAGTACTCCAAACTAATTTCAGATTGCATAAATGAAACTCTTTAATTTTTCTTGACTGGTTTGAAGTATTGGTATCTGTATTATAATTTATCAGTAAGTTCTACAGGACACAGAGAACAAGACAACTACCAAAAATCCTGATACTTTATAAAGCATGAAATCGTGTTTCTTTTTAATTACTTCTCATTTAATTAATCATCCATCTGTTTGGATTATATTCTTCAGTACTACAGTCATGAGTTTGAAAACATGCAATGAATTCACAGCAAGCTTATCAGGAAGCTGTGTTAGAAGAATTAAAAAATTATGTTTTTGCTGATTTAAAGGCTGCAGCACAGTCCATAAGAAAAATGACCATTTATCCCTTCATTTACCATGTAGGGTCATCCATCTTTTAACTAAGTGCTGAATATAACCATAAAGTTTTATTCTTTTTTTTTTTTTTTTTTTTTTTTTTTTTTCTCATGGTAATGGCATTGTATAAAAACGCTCTTCCTCTTCGACCTGCGGGCAACTGGTGCCAGGAGAAGTCTACTTTGAGATATCCATAGCAGAAAGTAGGTTCATTAGGTGCACAAATTTCTGCAAGCTTTGTTAGCAAAGTCACTGCAGGGATGAGTACTCTGGAAAACTGCCCGAGAGGTTTATTGTGACCGCCACCATCATTCTTTAGCCAAACAGCCATAAGGCAGCAGTAGGGAAGCTTGGCTGCTCCTAGGAGGGAAATCCACGCAGAGGAGGATGGGGAAGTTGCCACTGCAAACCTGGCTGTTCACCTCTTCATAGATCATGGAAAAGACAGCAAATTGAAATAGAAAGCAGTAGGGTGCTAAAAGCCTCGGACGAATCACTATTAAGCACTGCTACACTGTAAAAGTCCAAGCAGCAGCAGAGAAAAAAAATCCCATCCATTTGGACAACAAAATAATATTTCTGAATATAAATCTCTTCATTGTGCTGTATAGGTATTAAATTTCTCTCCCATGGAAAACTAAGGAAGACAGAACATTATCTGAAACTTCATGACCTTTCTGAATATCACATTAAACCCCTTACATTGTTCATAATGAATGACATAAATATATGGCATGTTTGCGCATCCATCTGCATTCACTGTCATGGCGCTGTTGAAAATGAGACTGTTGGGCTTCCTCTGCATTTTGGAAGGTGAAACTCTGCTAGGTTGTTTGACTGAGTTGTAACAGATCAGGTGTGGTTTGTGAGATTTGTCGAACTCAATCTGCCACGTGACTAGTCATTTGTATTTTTCACCTACATAATCCTGTGGTCAAACTGACAGGGGCAAACAAATGGCAGAATAAAACATTGCTGGATTTGATAATGATTCAGTCCAGATTTTGACCGTATAGCTGAGGTGCACTGAACACCTGACAAGGCAAGGCCCCCTCATGTAACCAACACCATCTGCGCTGAGCCTTTGCAGGGGCAGTTTCTAAAAGGGAATTTTATGAACCAGCCTGGGCTGCCTTCAGTGAGACATTTTAGGACTCCCAGTAAGCCCCGCTGTTCACACACATGTCATTAGGAAAATCAGTGTACATATATTTTCATTTGCACCCTAATTATTCCCCACTTGCTGCCCTAAGGTGTGGCTAAAAGCCACGGTACAACCACAGTGCGAGTTTCACCTCTTTCTCAGCTAGAACAGTTGGAAATCAGTCTAGATTCGTTAATTTCACTTGCCTCCCTGGGTGTGGAAAATGAAGAAGAAACTGCTGATTCTGAGTGGGTTTCTTAGGGAAGGCTTGCAAACACAACGAAAAGAGGGCAAGAGAAGACTGAAAATGCGTGAGTATGAATGAGTACAAATTCCTTATTTTAAAACAAAGCAGACAATGAGGTTCTTCAGATTACCCTTTTGTAGTTAGATTTGTTTGGAAGGCTGTATGTTGTTCTAAATAAAGGTCTGAATGCAATGAGGCCTCTAAGTATTGAAAGGACTAATTTCATCCAAGGCCAAAATGTGTCTGGCCAAACAAAAAACAAAACAAACAAAAGTTTGGAGTACTTTCTCCACGGTGAAAAGAAAGACTTCTGTATCCTTATGGTCAACAGGTTGCCCATGAGCCAGCAGTGTGTCCTTGTGTCCAAGAAATCAGTGATATCCTGGGGTGTATTAAAAAGAGCATGGCCAGCAGGTAGAGAGAGATAATCTTCCCCCTTTACTCTGCCCCAGTGAGGCCACACGGAGTACAGTGCCCAGTTCTGGTCTCTCCAGTTCAAGAAAGACAAGGGAGATTCTAGAGAGAGTCAGAGAGTGCTATAAAGATGATCATAGAATCATGGAATCTCTCAAGTTGGAAAAGATCTCAAAGATCACTGAGTCCGACTACAACCTAACCATACTACCCTAACTCTAACAATCCTCCACTAAATCATGTCCCTTAGCACCACATCCAGATGGTTTTTAAACACATTCAGGGATGGTGACTCCATCCCTGGAAGCCTCTATTGTTCTTGGGAGGTACATATTCATACGTTAATAGTACTCTGTCCAATTACTTTGATGATCTAAAACTACTATTTCTAGAATTTACTCATTTCAGCCTTTTGTTTTGCTAACTTTTCTCATTTACAGAAAGCTCACTTGCAAGGGATGTTAGTTTCACTGTTTTCTGAGCATTACAAAGAAGGGATGTGAGTTCTTAGCTTAAAATTGGAACTAATGCCTTGTTCAAGAGTTCTTTGAAGTAGTGATATTTTTTTCATACGGTTTGGACTTCTTGGGTGAAAGGTTCTTTGAAATTTTTGGTTATATAAGAACTTATGGGGAAAGCTGGCTCTTAAAACATACTGTCTCTATTATGAAACTGTTGTAAACATTATGAGGAAGTGATGAAACCTAGAATAGTATCCTGATCAACAGATGGCCCTGGGTAGGATATTCTTCACTATTCGTCCTACAAATAAGCACTGTTGTGTGAAAAAGACCTGCCCTGGGGAGAGACATAAGGCTAACAAGGGAAGGTAATCAATCACTACACAGTATCTGTCAATCTGTCTTCATGTAAGCACTCAAACCAAAATAATCTGAACAGACATTTAGAAACCTTAATGGGATGTGAAAGCTAGCCAAGTCACATTGCTTCTCTGATAGCACCACCAGTAAATACGTGCAAGTATAATTCACAGAAGGAAAAAAAAAAAACAGATAAATTTAAACAAATTAATTGCCATGATGCAAGCAACTGTGAGAACTTTTTGTGTATATCCTCCCACCTCAAACACAAACATTCTCAAGTATGCAATTGCATGTCATTTCAGCTGTGTAATTACACATTGTTTCTCTCTCCCCAGGACTCACTACATAAAATGGTAATGTTGGAATAACAAACAACTATGAACCCATTCATGTCCATTTTTCTTGCTTTTTCAAAATGTCCCCATACTTTTATCACTGTTCAAAGAAAAAAAAAATCTCTAGTATGCTATTAATTTTTTTTAATGAAAGACTGCAGAGAAACATGGTACAATCTACCCTTCCATATCTTTGCTGAGTGGTGTCTGTGGCAATGAATAAGGCTGCACTAAGGATGCACTGTCCCCTTCTCCTTGGCTTTACTCCTCCTCTACTTGGCTCTTGTGAGGCCCCATCTGCAGTACTGCGTCCAGGCCTGGGGCCCACAGTACAGGAAGGACGTGGAGCTCTTGGAGTGGATCCAGAGGAGGGCCACTAAGATGATCACAGGAGCACCTCTCTGTGAGGAAAGGTTGAGGGAACTGGGTTTGTTTAGCTTGGAAAAGAGAAGGCCACATAGAGACCTCATTGCAGCCTTCCAGTACTTGAAGGGAGCACATAAACAGGAGGGGGAATGGCCATTTACAAGAGGGAATGGTTTCAAACTGAAACAGGGGAGGCTTAGGTTAGATATTAGGAGGAAGTTTTTCACACAGAGGGTGGTGATGCACTGGAACAGGTTGCCCAAGGAGGCTGTGGATGCCCCATCCCTGGAGGCATTCAAGGCCAGGCTGGATGTGGCTCTGGGCAGCCTGGTCTGCTTGTTGGTGACCCTGCACATAGCAGGGGTTGAAACTCGATGATCATTGTGGTCCTTTTCAACCAAGGCCATTCTATGATTCTATGAATTGAAAAGTTAAAAATTAGCCCCAGAAACAAGCTAGTTAGCACTAAAATGGGAATAGTCACAGACAGTTCCTCTCAGCTTTCAATTCATGGTCTTGCTGGGGAATTTCACACAGCCAGCTAGCTCAGAAGTGGTGTTTTGTGGATTTTGTTTATTTTGGTTGCATTTTTATTTGGTGTATTTCTTCTCCTAGAAAGCAACTTGTGGTTTAGGATCTTACTCTTTTAAACTGTATTTAGATCATCTATTCTGGATGCTTCTTCCCCATAATATCTTCCTTGCCTAAAGGAATCCATAGTGGTCTTTCCTACCTCCAAGGCAAATGTTTTCTGAGTTCAGGTTTTCAGAGATTTCTGTTTAAACTCTTATGGTTTGTAAGAGTTCATTTCTTATTCATAGAAAAGAAAGAACCAAGACAGATTTGGGAGCTACAGTGGAGGAAATATCACCTGAAAATAGGAACCTCATTCCAGTCATCTCCATGTAATGCTCAAAATTTTCAATATTCACTGGAATTACAATTTAATCTCAGCTCAGGTAATACTCTCCTCTTGTACCCTCTTTTCTTCTCCTGCTCTGCCAATCAGTCGTGCCTGTCTTATTCTGTCTACTCCAGTCTTCCCCCACGTGCTCAATATACTGGTGCATATGTAGACACCCCAATAAGTATCCTATTTAATATAACACGACTTTCAATACACCGTTATGCCTGATTAAGAAATGGCAAATGAACTACCGGTTGACGTGGGCCATCTCGTGGTAGAAGTGGAATACTACAAAGGAAACCATTTCAAACTTTTCCTCCTGAAAGACACTTCAATATGATTTGCAAAACACACAGAGTTACTTTGCTGATCAATAATTTTCCCCTACATTGCAATAAGATGATTAGGCTCACAAGCCATTCTCTGAATAAGCTGAGAATTTGGCCACAGATTCTTTTTCTTCTCTCAAGCATTAATCTTGAAAACTACCAGTTAGAGTTTCCGAAAAATGAAAAACCATGTTGTAAATCAGTGAGAGCAGAAAAAAAGGTCTTCTGAAACGTCTTATGAACAATTTTAAGCCTTCCGTTGGGTGGGCAGCAGAAAATTCTGTGTCCCAACACTTCTATTTTTGACTGGAAAAGATATTTTAAGGAATGGACAGAAACTCTGACTGAATTCCACAGACAGCAGCTGCTTTGTTTATATCAATGGAGTTTCAGGGCTGTGAGAGCACCCTCCAGCTCTGTAACCTGCTCTCACCTTCACAGTGGTTGGGCTGTCCATGCAAGGCCAGCTTTGACACTGTGTTTCTGGGATGAACTTGCTGCAGAAGTCTGTGCAAGAAAGATCATTAGCAACCTTGTGCAAAGTTTCTGTGCCTTGGCTCAGCAGCTGTATTTAAGTGTCTCTAAGCTCAGACCTTGGTCCCTGTGTCAGAGCTATGCTGTAGGTATCCCTGTGCTTTGCCATAGAACTCACCTTGATGCTGATTGCTGATGTGTCTTGCTGGCTTGAATTTGAACATGACCAGTCACTCCAGACCTGTCTAGCAGCCTCTAGACTGAGGCTGACCCTGACTGTTGCCACTAAGCTTGTTTCACTTTCCTTATTCATTTTCCTCTAAAAGAAGTCACCATCCTGCCAGCTTTTCTGTCAGCTTCCCTGGTGGGGCAGCCCTTTTCATTTCCTTATTCTGGCAATGATCTACAACAGAAACACTCAGTTTGGATCATACGAACAACTGTCTTATCTGCTTCCAATGACAACTAACCTTCAACATAATTCCATCATATGCATTTTCATCTCAAAAACCACAGCTCACCCAACTGTTTCAGCATCCCCTCATTTGCCTCCAGTCTGATTATCACCCAGTCACCAGTAAGCAAAAGAGTAAGTTTCTGGACTGAAAGTTAGCCATCACACTTAGCAGCTCTGTAAGTCCATATACAGCATATAAGCAGCAGTTTTGCAGAAACGAAGTGACTTCAGAAATTCAGAATATATGAAGGTAAACATTATCATTCTGTGTACTCCACTTACAGTTCCAAGAAGGAAACAGAGATTAATGACTGCATACTTTCTAGGACTAACTTACCATAGACAACTTCCTCACATTCAACATTACAACAGAGAAACGGTTCCCAAAACTATGCCAAGTGGACACAGGCTAGAGCAGCCTCCTGATTTGTGACTATCACAGTACGTCCAGAAATGGAGAATCATAAAAATTCATTGCTTTGATAATAAACATGGATGGAAGGAAAAAAGTGAATTAACATTAATGCCTTATCCTCAGTACATAACAGAGAACACAAATGCACATCTACTTGAATTAACTTTATTTAGACTATCATAGAAAAAAGAATCGCTGATAGCACCAAAAAAGACTTCACAAGATAAAGGATGTAAAGAAAAGCCACATACAAGTTCATCATAAATACACTGCTCTCTTACCATATTACACACAATATTCCTTGAAGTTGCATTCTTAAGAACTAATTACTCCTAAAGCAGTCAGCAGACACTTCACTTGCCAAGTTGGTCCCTGTTTTTAAAGCTAAATCCTGCCCTTCTTACTCAGGCAAATCCTTAGAGTTATTCTAAAGAACTCAGTCTGAATAAAAAACAGACAGCTAGACTCTTTTTGTAAATATCTCAGCTGCTACATCTATATGCAACTGTAGAGCAAGATTGTCTTTTACACTGGATCTACCTGGGAACCAATAAATATAGTTAACAGTTATTCACATGAAAAAAGTTCAATTTACTGAATTTGGCAAATGTAGAAATAATCTGCACTATAACACATCTAAGCTTGTGATTACAAAGCAGTGTTCATACAGTAGTCGCAGTTAATGTTTGTTTATATTATTTTAATTGATGCATTTCATATTCTCTATCTTACACAGCTGTTTCATCAAAAAGAACAAGCTAGAGAGTCCTTTAATTAAAAACCCTGAGAAACATGGCAGCTGTATTCAGATATGGTACAAAGCAGATATGCTTTAAACGTAATGTCTCCTATTTTATTATGTGGCCCCACAGAGGCAGATGGTGGTGTTGTAGTAGTAGAGGTTAAGCCTTCCCACCAATATTCCCAAATATTTTGTTGCTGTGGGACACATGGCAACAGAGAAGCAGTCTGACTGCTGGCATCTGACATGCAAGTACGAAGCAAAGGGTTGGAATTAAATCCCTGAAAAATCGCACCCATAGACATTTATTGATTCTTGCCAAATGTTTATGGAGCCCAGCGATTACATAGTGAGGCAGCGGGTGCACTTCAGCAGTGGTGACAGCAACATGAAAGAACATATTCCAGACAGCCATGCACAGCTGTCATATCACAAAGGGAAGAGCATCTCAATTAGCTCATCTGTGTAAATCAGCACACAACTATGACTGTGTTGAAAAATAGTATTTCATAGTGTTGTTCTGCTGTTTGTATCAATCTATTGTTATTTCCATGTAAATAAATAGGAGGCATTACTTCTGGATTGATGTACTGGAAAGTTTAAGGTATTACAAAACAGAGCTGAGGTATGAATCTATTTTTTTCCATAAACTCCAAGTCCCCACTGATGTTAACATGGAAACTGTGCAAGAAAGTAGAATTACAGTTGATTGTCTTATCTTAGTTTCTGAACACAATATAAAATTTTCACTAATAGAACCAAATGCAACATTATGCCAACATCAAGTTTTCTAATTGGCCTTTTTTTTTTTTTCTTATTCCAGCTATTATTAACTATCCAACAAAACACAAGCAGATTGTCTTCACTTAATTAATGGAAAACTACCTTTAACTACAATGAGAATTCTACTCAGCAACTACAGAAAAACTTAGAGTGTGTATAAAGCAAAAGTTAGGTTGACATTCTTCTACAGACCTCTGTTTCTCTGTGTGTATCTCCCATCTGCTCATAGCAGTTACTCTCAAACAGGCTCTTCGAATACATATAAAATGGAATTTGAAAAGAGCAGAAAGTGGAAACAGAACATAACTATGCTCTTCACACTTACTTATTTTTACCTGATATTTGCAACACCTAATTTAAAATGCATCTTCACATTTACGTAGAACTCACAAGGTATAAGCTCTCTGAACAACACTGAATGTACAACACAAAGTTTCAGAAATCAGGTAAAACACATCCTTTCCATGTCTCTTTGCTACCACGTTTACTTATGATTTTGAACAATTTTTCGAATAACAAAATAATCCTTCTCAAGAACTTGGTTACACAGACAAATTTACGAGCCTAAGATCCAAGGTCTCATTTGTTAAATCATTTGAAAAGGATAGGATTTTACTCTACAATATACCTAAAGATCTAGTGCTATTACAGTACACAACATTTTACAGAGATAATCTCCATATTTTGAAATAAGAATGCAAAACTTTTCCTTGTACTAAACCTGAAAATGTTCAAATTCATACGTAAAATCAAAAAACTTTTCCCAGAAGAAAAATGTATTTTTCAGTAGCAATGAAGTATAACCCAGGACTATTATGATTTAGAATGTAAAATTTTAGATTAGTGGTCCAATAGTACAGAAGAAACACAGGATAAGTTATTGTAAAATAAGATAATTATTCTGTCTTCCTGTCACATACATTGCATTATATCAGCTTAATTATGCAACGCAGGCAAATAATTCTATTTACCAATAGCAATGCCACACCTCTGACAAGATACTCAATCAAAAAAATAGACTTGCTGGAATGAAGAAAACGTTCCTGTATAAATCGGAGTATAATTATAAATCAATTCTTTTGTTTCTTCACCTTCACTGGGGAAACGGTGCAGGTTCTTCCGGGCTGTAAAACATTTCAGAAGTACAGATCACTTTACAGCTATCAGCCTCGACAGTATCTTTGTTAGCAAATTATTCTGTGTTCATAACAGCAAACAAAATTACAGCAATTAATATTAGAAGAATCATCAAGATACAGGTTCAGAAAGTTGTTTACAGCAGTATTTCATTAGTGAGGAGGGACAAATTCAACTGTTAATGTAAAATTCAGGCTATAGAATAAGGTATATTCATGAGCTATTGGCAGTATCTATCAGAGACAGCAATACTGATAACACTGGAAGAAATGCATCAGAGCATCAGCCTACTCAAAGATGCAGTGCAAATATGGTCTTTGTTGCTAAGGACAATAAAAACTAAATCCTGCTCTGGTTCGTCATGTTGGCAACTCTACACATGTTAAAATTAGTTACAGATGGATATGAAAGTGATATTAAAAGAGTGGCTTAATTATACACATATCTATGTTCTCTTAATTTTTGTCAGTTGAAAAGAGTTTACGTTTTTCACTGTTTGTGCATATATGTACACAAATTCATATGCACTGCATCTCAACAGGAAGAAGTTAACAGAAGAGCTTCCACATTTGCTTGGATAATAGCCATAGTAGCGTTACTTCTGCTTACAAAATATATGATGCTCTAACTGCACTACAAAAACAATTAAATGGACGTATTTTATACCTTTTCTTTTTTATCCCATAAGAATCTTATTAAAACCAATAAAATACAGGAAGCTTATGGACACTGTCAAGGGATTTCATGTTATTTTTCTACCTTTATGGAAAGCAGCGTAACACTACAGTATGCAAGGAAATAGCCTTAAAACTTGTAAGTATAAACACGACTTTTATTTCTACAGACTCATTGACTATGTCAGCACACATTTTGCCTATTTTAAATCACTGTCCCTTTCTCCAATTTGGTTGCTCTTTTCATAAGAATCATAGAATGCTTTGAGTTGGAAGAGACCTTTAAGATCATCTAGTTCCAACCCCTTGCTATAGGCAGGGACACCTCTCTCAAGACCAGGTTGCCCAAAGCCCATTCAGCCTGGCCTTGACTGCTTCCAGGGAGGGAGCATCCACAACCTCACTGGGAAACCTGTTCTGTAAGTCAAGAAATCAAACCTAGAGTCCAAACACAGTTTGGCTATTGATTATGTTTTTTATATTCCCAGTCAAACAATTGAGACAACTTCATGAACAGCCAGAAATCAGTATTTCAGCAGAATGGTGTAGGAAGCATTGATAAGTGTATCATCAAGTTTGATCACTTCAAGTACTTCTGTATTTGTAGAGTATTTAATGATAGCAAACATATCACAATGGTAACTTGTTTTAGAACTGAGGATGTGTCTAGAATTATGAATGGATCATTTTTTTTCATGTTAAAGTCTTTGTGCAAGGGAAGATATGACATTACAACATCATTATGACATCATGAGATAGTTCAAAACAGAAGAAAATCACTGCAAAGGCAAGACTTTTGGCCCAGACTACTGAAAAGGTTTGGTCTACTTCTGCTACAGCAGTCGGCCTTTTAATGCCACTTTCACAAATCCATTCTATTTCCCTTACTTTTTATAAGCCTAAATAAAGGTTGCAGAGTAAGCTTTTCAGTAAGCAGTAAGAGGTACTTGACTTATATTTACAAACAATAAACTTACCTTCATTAACAAAGAAGTCAGCTATGTAATATGCAGCTCTTACAGCTGATGAGGAATGTGGAATGCCTGATGAGTTCTTCCATTCAAAAGGATTTTTTTCTGGATGCCACTGGACACCATAAATTGGGTATTTGTATGCTGCAACAAACACATTTTCCATCAAAGCATAAAAGCGAGATCTACACCTGAAGAGTGATGTGTTTAGTCTTACTGAAAAACAAAGTCAAAGGACAAGCTACAAAAAACCCTCACTTATCAACAGCTTCACAAAAGCTTAAAGAGCAAGCTGAAACAGGTCCAACTATCAGGATCTTCTTGAAGGCCCAGTCAAACCAGAGGAAGCTCCCATTTGGTCCATACCAGGAAGAAGCCAGTCCTTATGTCTTGCATAAAAAACAAAGCCACAGCAGGTGATGACTGCTCTGTGATAAAAACTGCTTGCAGGCACAAGATATGTTATCATTAGCCTGATTACATCTTCTGATCAAACTGCTATTCTCCTCTTCTTCTAGAGGACTGACAGCATGCCATACAGAAGAATCCCATAGGCTGACAGCTGGGCCTTATTGTAGAGGTGCTAGTCATGCACTAATCAAAATAAATCCCTCTCTAATGAGCTAATATGTTTTCTTTAAGATGAGCAAACCTGGCGGAAAACATATGTAACATGCGGTAGGGAAAGCAAAAGGATTTTGGAGAACAATTACCAGTATTGGTGTCAAAGCAATGAGAGAAATTGCTGTTATTTCAGTATCATGAATTGTCCTCCCTGTACTCAAATGGGCAATAAGGCATCGTGAGGAGGCATGCATAAGCAGACAGACAACAAGGAGGATGCAACAGAGGTACACTAGGGGTTAGGCTATTATAAGATGAGTGCTATACACTTTGTACCACAGTACTGGAATATTCCAGTGTTGAAGTGTCATAGCACATCTGGAAGGGGAATAATGAGTGAAAGAAGTAGTTAAGCTCAAAAATATGTACTCAAAAGAAAAACTTTCTCTGCAAACACTACAACCATCACAGGCAGAGTACAGACAGAGCCAGCACTCACCCTGCCATTCCAACAGTAAGCTTGCACTACAAAACAGCATAAATGCCACCACACCTCCAAAACTGCTGAAGAAATACTTTCTTTCAGTCATATTTTAGAAAGGAAATTCATTTTCCTACCTTCCATGGTAGATATAAATTCCACTTCATCATCAGTGTTAGTGGTCAGAATATTATAGAAATTATAAAGCTTTTCATTCTTTGTGAAATTCTGCAGTATGAAGGAAAGAAAATAAAGATATGTTATCTGTTTCTTTATTTCTAGTTTAGACAGAGAGAATGCATTTGTGTTTGTGAGGTAAAACAATCAAATACCTCCATGGAAATGCTCCACATGTGAAAGTTTGATGTTAATGGCTCAGTAGCAAAGGCATGTAGCAAATCACTGGGAATATTCTTGAATAATCTACTTTGTTTTGCAGCTGTCACAAAGAAAAAACAGATACTGTCCATTATCCAAGCTGCTAACAGGCTGTCTATTACTGAATAGGAAACACATTTAATAAAACACTACTTTGAAACAAACTGTCAGGTTTCTGTGGTAAAACTTCACAATTTAAGAATGTACTGCAAAGAAATTAAAAAAAAAAAACAAACAGTGAGATAAATCCAGAGTTGTATAGACTTTATAAAAGTTTGGTCAAATTAATAAGAAAGTATTAATCATCAAACATTCAGCCTTGTGTATTTTTCACAAACAAAACCACAATACCTCTCAGCAAAACTCAGACATGAGATGTAGAGGGATTTCTCACCTGATGTAAAGTTCAAAGGGAGTGAAAAACCATTTGTTTTGGTATTAACAAGTAAAATTTCACCACTTGTGAGGTATGTCAGCAACTCGTGTCCAAGACATGTTCCCCATACTGGGAAATAATCTCCTTTATCATTAGCCTTCAAAATAAACAACAACAAAATAAAGTACTGAAGATTTACAGAAAGAAAAACGAGCAGAACTTCCTATTCTTTTCACTTTCACCTCTGTAGATGAGAAATAAAACTACTACAGCAGTACAAACTACCAAACAGTTGTAACAGTTCAGCAATTGAAATAACCACATCAAATGCCTTAGTTTTTCTCTAAAAAACTTAAAAAAAAAAAAAAAAAAAAAAAAAGCAAACATCAGTCTGGATGATACGGGTATATTAAAAACCCCATAACAATAGCACAGCCTATTACATACCTGCTAGTGTATTGTTGATTATGGTAACTCACCTTACATTTGTAAAACTGCTAATATTTTATAGTGCTAATCAAGTCTGAAAAGATGAAAATTAAAATACACAATCACCAATACTAGCACAGGAAAAAAAAAAGAGATGAGTAAGCATTACACATGAAGAAGTGAAAATTATTTTCTGTCTTTTAGTCACCTTAAGGGCACGTATCAACCAGTAAGCCTGACTCTTTGGTCATAAATTTATGACATACACAATTTGTTGTGAAATGTCAATAGAATTTCGTAATAGTCCTGCAAACACTAACAAGAAACCGCAAGAAACCACCGCCCCAAGCTGCACTTCACACCATGAGCAGTTTTGTAGAGACAAATGAGATCACTAGTTTTATAAAATTCAGGTTGAAGGTGACAGATGAGTAATCAACTATGAAAAAAGACAAGAGACAGATGATAGAAGAGCAACATTGATATCATAGTGACTGAGCAGTAGGAAACTGGTGCACTGAGCTGAAGCTGACTAGTTTTGTGGATGCCTGTGCTTTCCTGGTCTGATCTCCATCCCTTTCAACAATACACTCTTAGAAGACAGTAAACTTTTACTTCAAAATATGTTTATTACCTAGAAAAAAAAAAAAAAAAAGAATCTCTTATGCTCAGAGAGAATTAAATTTTCCATAAGGATTCAGAGCCTTCCTGATGTTCCTTGAAAGAAACAGCTTTCCCACAAATTCAATCTTTTCCTAAAAAAAGCTAATGATGAGCAATAAAAAGTACTTCATACCACCTTTCACATGCTTTTTGTCATGTTGTAAGTTAAATTAATGTTAACTTCAGAAAATCTGTTGTATTTACAGCTACCAGTGAGATAACATGCTAAAATAGACATTTTACATGCATCTTCAAAGATGTATTTGAATCTACTTACATATAAGAATATAGGTGCTTCACTAACTGTAGAATATATGTTAGGAGAAGCTTTAACGTTACACGATTGTAGACTGAATTGTTAGAGAGCCTCTCTGGAATTCCTTCGGAGTCTAAGTCTTATTTATGAGAGGTTTACTAGTAATTACATTTAGGTGGATCTTTGTTCTGTATTTAATGTCCCTGGATACTTTGTGCTTTTGCAAAGCTTTATCGTTACTTTATTGCAGGTTCAGAACAGCAATGAAGCCCCTAGTTACAGTAAATAAACGATGACTGGAATTTAAGACGACGACACCACATATAACATGAGAGGGTGTCAGATGTCCGAATCTTAAGCTTTGAAATGATTTTTTAAGTAGAAGCTAGCAACGAGATACTTATTATCAGGGTTATGGTTAACACATTGGATGCCAGTGGGAAACTAGAATATGAGCCTCCTTGTCGTTTTGATTTTTGAACAGCGACAAGAACAGACTGTTCCTTAGTAATTACCTCTAATGCCTTGCGGTAAAATATCTTAGCAACCCTGGAATATTCTGAAGTCCTAAGATTCACACCACCTCCTGGAAAAAGTACCCTGAAAGGCAACATCCAAGAATATGATTAGCAACAGTGAATAACAGCAATCGAATTAAAACCTGGACAGTGAAAAGAGAGAAAAGTCTGACAGTGGCTTTAAGGTTCTGGATTAGGACATCTAGGTTTCCGAAATCTATAAATGGGTATCCAAGGTTCCACCATGAACCGGAGGGATCTAGTCAGAAAAGTCAATGGCAATTCAAATGCATTTTCAAGAGAAGACACTCAACTGGCTGGGAGGCTGAATAGCCCAGTAGGCTTATTGTACTGATGTGCTATTAATTATGTGAGTTTAGACAGCTATCACATATATAGTTACATTAGTCTTTTTCATTTGCATTATCCTTGTCTTTTACTGAATCACATTCTAAAATTTTGTATTCTTATACTAATAAATAATTATTAGCAAAAAGACATGACCAAAAATAGCATAGAGAGAGGTGAAAAAAACAGAGAATACATGAAACAGAGATACTTCTGCTACTATACAAAAGAGTTGTCTGCAATGACTCCATCAAACCCTACCCTCACTCCAAGCTGCCTTTTCCTAAATTATAAAATCCTGGCCCTATTCTCAATTCATCCTATTCCATTTAAGTAGAGACAAATTTATGAAGAAAGGTAGAGAAAACTGAGCTTATTTAGCTTGGAGAAGAGAAGGCCCCAAGGAGACCTTATTGTGGCCTTCCAGTACTTGAAGGAAGCATATAAACAGGAGGGGGAATGGCTGTTTACGAGGGTGGATAGTGACAGAACAAGGAGGAATAGCTTTAAACTGAGACAAGGGTGGATTAGGATAGATATTAGGAAGAAGTTTTTCACACAGAGGATGGTGACGCACAGGAACAGGTTGCCCAAGGAGGTTGTGGATGCCCCATCCCTGGAGGCATTCAAGGCCAGGCTGGATGTGGCTCTGGGCAGCCTGGTCTGGTGGATGGTGACCCTGCACATAGCAGGGGGGTTGAAACTCGATGATCATTGTGGTCCTTGTCAACCCAGGCCATTCTGTGATTCTATGAAATTGTACCCCTTCTTATGGAAGATCAAAAAGTTCCCAATAAAAAGTGAAAAAGTATGCTTGGCCGTAACCTTTGGTCACAGAGGATCTAATTTAGCTAAATAAGACAAAGTAATCTCAGAGACTATTTAAAAAACAAATAGTGTGCAATCTTTTTCCTCCATAAAAATAAATTTAAAAAAATACAAAAAAAACAACTGTAGCTAATCTTTGTGTGGCTTCCCAGCTACAAAAACCACAAAAGCCTAAGACTTCATATAGTCTAACAGGTTTCATACATGCAAATGATGACATGCACAATCAAGTACTTCTATCAGTAGGTAAATTAAGTCTCTTCCAGATAAAACTGGAAATAATCAAGTGATCTCTTTAACCCACCATAGTGGGAACTCAACTGGATTTACTAGTGCTACCCCCATCAGCCACTGAGTTTTCACAAAAACAGCTGAAGGATTCCTCAGCATTTCTGAGCTCTGGAAACAGTAACTGGTAACTTGCTCTAGCTACTTGTTAGTATCTCAGTGATATATTTCATCCGATCCTAAGCATCTACAAAGTGAGTGAATATGCACTTAAAACTCCTGGGACTGGGTTTACTTCAAGGCAAGCAATTCACAGGATCCTGCAAAAACCATCAAATATTTTCTAGAAAAGTAAAGGTGTATTCACAAAAGCATAAATTATTCTCTAGCTTGAATTTAGAAAAATGAATATAGCTAAACAGGACAAATTATAGACTTCTACAGAGATTTGTTTAGACAAATATGATGATCCTCATATGGAAGAGGTGGGAAATTCATTTCACCTGTTCCTTCTGTTAATCATAAACTGGCCAACATTAATTTAAAAACAAAACCAAAACAAAACAACTGACATTTCTGCTAGTACAAGATGGAAGATGGAAGTAACTCATTAAGCAACAATGATAATGGCTTGTTATTGTGATAGGCAGGTCAAAATGCAGCTGCCTGCATTCTACAATCTCTCACTGATTAGAGGTGATGATGTTCACCATGGATTTCAAAGGCTGTCTCAGAAAAACAAGGCTATACTCATAAAATTCTACCTCTGCTATAGTAACTTCCATGGTCTTAAGATGAAGGCATTTAATTATAAAGAATTTCCAACTGCAAAAAACCTCAAGCTAAGGTCTCACAACATGAAAGATCAATCTACTTCTTTCTTATACAAAGTTCCCACAGTACAGAGTCCTTCCCCGCACAGATCCTATTTGTTACTTATGCATGACTGTATTACGGAAGCCACGAGCTGACAGTGGAATGTAATGAGAGGAAATATAGATCATTCTTACCCACCTACATAGCACAGACCCAACTGTCAACCTCAGCAAAGACAGAAGGATAAAAGAACAAGATCTATTTGCCTAATACTCCACTAAGCACTGACAAAGACTGGGGGGTAGAAAGGAGATTCCACTGCTTATAGTCCCTCTGATATGAAAAGATCACTCGTGAAAAAGTGATGAAATTACTCATTTTGTCTCCAGTACAAGAAGACACAGGGAAGAAAGCACAATTGCCTTACTCTTCCTTTTTTTAGAACACTCTGAAAATCCACATCTTAATGTGTAGGGAATGCTGTGGGGCATAAGATGACACAGCTCTCCACTGATAGCCACTGCTCTAAACATGCAAGTTTTAGTCATGCTGATTAATATCGTGATGTGCATAAGATGTATGAAAATATTAATGGTCTAAGATGTTCATCTCATGACTACAAGTAGACCAAGCATGCTCTATGGGATCACACACAAAACTACTGCAGTGTAGCACGATTTTCCTTAGATCACAATTAAAAATGTGTTAAACTAGATCACATGCGGAAAACATGGAAAAGAGACACACAGGACAGTTACCAAAGGTCAGCTGACAATTTGGAATATGTTTGTCTAACAAGAGACTTAAGAGACTTAAGCCTCAGAAACAGGGCAGGCAAGATGGACCATTAAAGGCAGAAAGAGCCCAAAGAGAAAAGTGTAGAAGAGAATGGAAATCAGAAGCCTTGATGCTGGAGGAACTTGGAGAGTACTGAAAGAGAATGGAAGAAGAGAGAAGATAGGGTTGGAGCAGAGAAGACTGAGTGATGACACACCCAGCACAACGTATTACATTTCAAAATCAAGGTGATCGCTTAAAGGAGAATGAGAGAAAAAAGGAAATGACCTACTTCACTTATAAAGAATAAACCCATGGTTAACCTCTGTCACTCCACTTCCGACTATCTGCATTGGGGAATGCTAATATGAGTCCTGACAGTGTTACAGATAATCTGACATGCTCCAAATGGAAGAAAATGGAGCAGATCTACATGGGATGAAACAGTGCTCTGTCTTAGAACAGATTCATATGTCAGCACAAGCTTGCAAGAGAGCAAAAAGACAACATCCTTGAGAAAAAAGCAGATTGAAAAAAAAAAAAAAAAGAATTACCAGTATTTCAACAGAAAAACAATGCTCAAAACTTACCCATTAATAGAGTGGAATATTTTATCATATTCTTCATCTGAAAGATTTAATCTGAAATACCAGGAAAATAATTACAAAACACATAGCATATATATAAATATATACGTATAAAACCATTAAAATACCATATTATATACTATATATATTACTGAACTGAAAGAAGAAGTATAGAAAATATACAAAAAGTATGGTTTAAACATTCAAAATAAAATAGTCCAAGCGCAAATGAAACAGGAACCTGTCAGGTATGGTTCAGGATTAGATATTGAGACCCCTTTGCAACTGATCATTAACATTTACATAAATGGTATGGCTATTATTTCCTGCAAACTGGCCACTCCGGTTTCTGATTGATCCCAAGATGTGCAGAACTGCAAACAGTTGGTCACACCCATTCTTCAGAAAAGACTGACAGGTGGAAAGATCATTAAACATCAGGAAAACAGTACGATGGCTCTACACTCACGCAAAATGTATACACTGCGTATATTCAGTGTCCAGCTTTGCAGTATCTAACTAAGCTTAAAAAATTGGAAGCATCCATTCAGTGTGTGATCAGCAAAACTTCTGGTCAGCAACCATTCTGAAAGCTCCACTAGCTACATGAGGAACACCAGCATAAAATTCAGGCACTTCACCATTGTCCTTACTGGTCTGTGTGGGTACATCCCATTACGATTTTTTTGATGCTCCATTAGTGTCATTTGTATGATTCTCACTTTAACATCTGACAACAATGCATTTACTACTCTAGAACCAACTGCTGGCTATGAAGCACATCAGTTCTTCTACTTACTCTATTAGTTTTTACTCAGGAACCAAACTATTACACAGTAGGATGTCAGTGACCCACACTTTGAGCAAAACTGGGCTTGGATTTCTTCAAGGACAGTCCTTCTACATTACTTCAATTCTCGGACGACAGGATGACAGAATGTGACAAAAGATAGAATTTCCCCAGATGTGTGTGTTTGTTTGACAATACACATTAGACTGAACATAACAACTTCAAAAAACCACTAAGGTGAACTAGGGAGGGGTAACTTCACAAATTAAAAAAAAAAAAAAAAGAGAGAAATTGGGAGGAAAAAAAAAAAAAAAAGACTTTTGTAAAAAGAAATATTAACAATTACACATTCCAGCCTACTGCTATCCTGATTTTTAAAACAGCTCACAAATTGTGGCTTTGAATAATAGTTGATGAGCTGTAAACACTCAGAAAATCTGCACTACTGCTGCCTGGGCGTCCAATAGCCTTACATTAACTGTTACCCACTTCAGGAGATACAAAAACCCACCTTACTGGCACGATGCGGGCACCAGCAGACTCCAAGAACTTCACATACGAAGCCGCAATATACGAACTTCCGAATTTGTGGAACTCATCAAAGTGACATTCCTGCGACAGTATCCCTGAGAGGTCCAAGAGAGAAAATCAGCACGTCAAGAAATGTTTCATGCAACTGTTGGGCACAGAAAGAAAAATTAGACTACAATTTCTCACTCCCCACCCCACCCCCCCTCATTACAGCATTACGTGCGCTGTCCAATGACAAATAGTGGGACAGTGGGAATCAGTCACACTGCCCGGTCACAAGGCACCTAGCAAATATGTTTCACCTAACTCCCCTCTTTTACCTACGCAGTAACAACTTCTCTTAAATAAGTCCCATTTTGAGACTCTGCTGAAGTACGTACAGCACTGCGGGTCTCAGCAACAAAGAGTTCAGCAGTGAGAGCTCGCTCAGTCTAACCACCATTTCGCGACTTTCACGCCACGGAAGCCCGCAGGGTTTCGGTTTTAGTAGCTACGTGTGGAGAATCAACGCGTAGATGTCACCCGGCCGCCCCTTACCGACGATGGGCCTCTCGTTGGGCTCCGGCTCGTGGCCGCGCGGGGCGAGCGAGGCGGCGGTGGCACAGCGGAGCAGGAGCAGGAGGACGGCGCCGGCCGAGAGCGGAGCGAGCCCCGCTACGCGCCCCATCGCCACTCGACCGCTGCCGCTCCGAACAGACAGTTCCGCGACCGGCCGCGGGGCACGCTGGGAAATGGAGTTCCGCCGGCCCCGCCGCCGGGCACCGGGCGAAGCGGGGGCTTTTGTCGCCCTTCTCCTCACGCTGAGCGAGAGGAGGCGGCCGTGCGCCCGCGGAGGCCGGGTGGGCAGCATTCTCTAGCCGCCCTCCGGCTTCCCAGCGGCCTAGGCGCTGAGGGCTGAGCTGTCAACCGCTTCTCGCGGCCGCCGTAGCTTAACAAGAGCAAGCAGCGCGCTTGCAGCCCGGAAGGCCAACGCTACCCGTGGCTGCATCGCTAGAGGGGTGACCAGCAGGGAGAGGGAAGGGATTGTCCCCTCTGTTCTGCGCACGTGAAGTTTTGCGTCCAGACCTGGGGGCCCCAGACACAGGAAAAGCGTGGAAATGTTGCAGTGGGCCCGGAGGAGAGCCACAAAGATGATCCTCTGATCTGTGCCCCTCTCCTACAACGACTGGCTGAGGGAGCTGGGCTTGTTCAGCCTAGAGGAGAGAAGGCTGCGAGAAAGACACCGTTGCAGGCTTCCAGTACTTAAAAGGGAGTGTATGAACAGAAGGGAGACTGACTTTTTACATGATTTGATAGTGATAGGGCGGGGGGAAACAGGACAAGAGGGAATAGGCAGCTTGAGCTGGTGGTGGCAACCCTACCACCCATGATGGGATGTCAGAACCACGTGGTCTGAGATCCCTTCCAACTCAAGTCTTGCTATGATACTGTGGTTTCACCAGCAGGAGTCAAAAACCGGTAACGCTTAATGAAAGTAATTCCTGTGTCACTGAAAAGTAACTAAAGCTCTTCAAAACAGGAGACTGGTTGAACTAGAAAGGTTTATTAATATAATTATGTTAACATGTAAAAAAAAAAAATTTAAATGTGCATTAAATCGTGCTTATAGGCAGTAGCAGCATTTAACAGCAAGTTTATTTTTTAAAGGCACTCCTGGTCTTGTTAGAGAAGAATAAGGCACGTGCAAATTTTTGTTTATTTACTTTGCAGCTGACCTACCTCCAAACATCACACTTTCCCTTTTATTATGCAAATGTCCTGATTATTTTATGTCATTAGCAGCAGCAACAGTTGTTCCTTGTCCAGAATTTCTAAGTTCTACTTTACATGTAAACATTACAAATAATTAACAGTTCATGAAGAAACAACTGTACTCAGTGCTCTACTGCATTACATACTCATGTTACCATTTAATAATAGGTTCAGGATATTTTTGAACATATTCAGGACTTCATTGATATACTATAGTTCAAATAAAGATAAAAGCCACACATTTTTTCTCTACATACACAATCAAATGAACTAAGTTTCTTTCTGTTAAAATAAAATAGCAACAGTAGGAGATTGGTTTCGCAGAACCTGATCACAGGAGCATGGTTCATTCCTTTACATGGTATACATTCAAGGATTAAAACAGAGAGCATAACGTTAGTGCAATAACTTCAGTTCTCTGACTCATAAATGACTTGGAACTTGAGTTATACACCTGAAGAACTGCCAAATGACTACTTATTTTCTTATAAAAATAATCACTTCAACTATTTAAAGAGCTTTTTCATATCACAAAATAGTTCAATCAGATAAAAATAAAGATGTGAAATACATGAATATATGAAAAATATTTATCTGAATTTAGGCTCTGCATCAAAGATATCCTGAAAGAAAAGAATGATAATGCACTTGAGGAAATAAGATAACTGAAAAAGGAAAATCCTTGTCAGTTTCAAAGGAATTTTCTATCTGACATTGACTTTAGGTAGCAAAGGAAACTATGACCAACACATACTGTGCAGGCCTTTCACAGATGCTGTACATGCTAATAAAAAATAGCTTCTGGTGGCTTTTTCAATAATGAAGTATCAGTGATAGAGATGCTTCTGATTTCACACAATATTCTCTTTTCTCTCTCCTAAATATATATTAATACAGCATCCCAGCGTCCTACAGATTTTAAAATAACACAAGTTAGCATTTCTAGCTACCTGAGAAGGACATCGTTACGGTGAATGTTTATACGGAATGCTAAATATTTTAACACTTATGTGAACACTCTCTGGCTTGTTATAAAACTGATACAAACTGAGTATACAAACTCCAGCAGTTGGTGTATTAACAGAAATTTTAACAACAACAACAACAAAAAAGCATACAAAAAAAAAAACAAAACCAGTGAAAAATAAATTATCATTTGAGATTATTGAATCTTGGGGAATGTAGGATGATACAGCTTTGTAATACAAGCAGCAGTTAAACATGGATCATGTCCCTTTAAAAATCTATTTTCCATAAGTACAGACTTTTTTCATTATAAATACAGAAGAGGACTCATCAGAAATTAGTAACAAATTTTTCCAGTGTCCAACACTATATAGGCAAGTTGCCAATCACTTTTCTGACAGTAAGAATCTCCTAGGCATCTCCTAGGCTAAGGTCCAAAGCACCCTTAAACCACACAGCAGTTATTTCTAAGTTTCTGATCTACGAAGAATCTAGATCTTGCAGGGTGAAGATCTGCTTCACTTTGCAAGACAGATATTACAGCCAGCGAAGAGCAGTTGACCTCCGTAGCAATCTACAACAGGAATTAAGTGTTCACATTACTTAGTTGCTTATAGCTTATCCACAGGCATTATCTCTTTGAAGAAAGAAAATCAAAATTCAATTTTATTTTATTTTTTTTTTTAACTCTCTGACCAGTTCCTCCTGACTCACACTCTCCTTTGAAGGATATGTGTATGGCATTTTCCTCATCTTCCCCACGAATCCCCACGATTACTGTGTCAATTAGTGCAAAAAGGGAGGCTGCATAAGCAGCACAAAGATAACAAATGTTTCAGTATTGATGACTAATTCATAATTTGACTGTGTAATCTTAGCAGCACAAACTAACAAAACAGCCATTTCCCTGAGAACTGATTTGAAAAGCAGGCCCCTACTTGTAAATTAGGCCTGTATTCATACTTCTGCATCTAGTCTACCCCATCTATATTCTGTTCTACTTTAATTACTTGGCTTTGTATCTTATCATCTTGACAAGCCAAGATAGAACAACTAAGCATAAGGTTCTGGACTGCATTAATATAGATGAGTTGTCTTCCAAGACTTAGCAGGAGCAGTATCAATACCTGATATACAATGTACAATGTACTGGTGAAGTTGGCATGCAACTTCACCAGTTACAAACATGTAGAAATCATTAGTCTACTCAGACATACATATTGATATACTCCAGTTAGTATAAAAGTGCAGTCATTGTAATTCTGCTCTGAAAAGACATTCTGCTTTCATTTACTATGATTTCAAGTTTACAAGAAAGATTTTATATTGAATTTATTTCCACTTCCAGTCTTCAGGAATTGATAGAATACTCTCATAAGTTTATTCATGGGCAATCAGAGAAATGCTCTGGAGATACTCTGCAGATGCCATTATGAAGTCGGTCCATTCCTTGGCCAGCTCTTCAAAGGGGACTCCTTCCCCCCCATATTCCTGAGGGAGAATGCTGACTGGAAAGTGTTCAGTCAGACTCTGCATGTAGTTACTTCCATGCATATATACCTAAAACAAAATATGAAAAAGCATTTACTTCAGTATGAATTCTAGACTCACGAGTAAAAACAGACAGCAAATGAATGCAATACAAGCACTTAAGATTGGTTCCACTAAACAAGTGTTCACAATGAGCTCCTTCAGTGAGGCAGTACAGTTTAAGTCCAAAACTCACTACACCCATATAGCTAAAATCTGTACCGGGGGGACTGGGGTTTGGTCTAGTCCTGAGGTGTGTCCTGTACTTGCTTATCAGTCATTCCAGGGGAAAAAAAAGTGCACAGCACCTGGCCATTACTATCTGGTCCTGCTACACACATTAGAAGGCAACATTATGTACAAGGAATGTAGGTTCAAACAAGTGCCAAGGATATTCAGAAGAAACTATCCTCTGACTTATATTACAGTCCACGTAATTCAGTTCTAATTAAATCAGATCCCGGACTGCTCTCCTCCAGTTTAACCTTTGAATGGTGTAGTTTTGGTTGCTATTTTCCTGCTTTATTAGAGCTAACTTGAAGCGCTCTTCATTACTTTTGGTCAAAAAAACACCTTTTATAGGTTTCTTATTAACAGTTGACAAGAATGTTCTGATTATTAACACCATTCGTTGACAATTTCTCACTGTCATCCGTAGACAGAGTATCTAGAGATCTGGGACCTATTTCTTGCTAATTCTGCAGAAGATATGCTGAGTGATCTTAAGCAAGTTATTTAAACCCCCTGTTACTGTATTTTTCAGTCGTTAGAGTAGTGACAGAATCACAGAATGGCCAGGGTTGGAAGGGACCTCAAGGATCATGAATCTCCAATCCCCCTGCCACATGCAGGGCAAACAACCTCTCCATTTAATACCAGACCAGGCTGCCCAGGGCCCCACCCAACCTGGCCTTGAACACCTCCAGGGACGGGGCATCCACAACCTCTCTGAGCAGCCTGTTCCAGCACCTCACCACTCTCTCTGTAAAGAACTTCCCCGATATCCAACCTAAATCTTCCCTCCCTCAACTTAAAACCATTTCCCCTTGTCCTGCTGTTATCTACCCTTTCAAAGAGTTGATTCCCCTCCTGTCTGTAGGCTCCCTTTAGGTACTGAAATGCTGTAATGAGGTCACTCTGCAGCCTTCTTTTCTCCAGGCTGAGAAAAGCCCAGCTCTCTCAGCCTGTCTTTGTAGGGGAGGTGCTCCCCTGATCATCTTTGTGCCTCTCCTCTGGACCCTCTCCAACAGCTCCCTGTCCTTCTTGTACTGGGGAATCCAGACCTGGACACAGTACTCCAGATGGGGCCTCACAAGAGCAGAGTAGAGGGGGACAATCACCTCCCTGTCCCTGCTGGCCACCCCTCTTCTGATGGAGCCCAGGATACCATTTGCTTTCTGAGCTGCACGAGCACACTACTGGCTCACGTTAAGCTTTTCATCCATCAGGCCCCCCAGGTCTTTCTCTGCAGGGCTGAGTGACAACAGCAACTGTTACATTATTGATAACTGCAGATGTTTTACAGATAGATTACAGGGGCCACTATAGTACTAAAGCGATTTACTAAAATGATTTTTCCTCTTCAAAGTTCAGATCTTAAGGGAAGTGTCGTAGATTGTTGCGTAGGGGTTTTGTGGTAGAAATAAATGTTTGTGTGCACTCACCCGTTGCTTTATTTTTTCAGTGAGAAAAGGCTTAATTAGAGCGAAGACTGGATGGAACAATAAAGGCTCATTAATCAAGTGGATACCTCGAACTTTTAGTGGAAAGGAATCCTGTCAAGAACACATGAAAAAAAGCATGAGAAAAAGGAATTATTTAAAAGATTCTATTGTGAAAGACAAGTCTGAAACTATCTAGTCTTCCTCCAAGTATTCCTCCTAGCCTTGCTAATTCTTGCAGTGTGGAGTACTCCTAGTTCACACTGATTAAGAAATTACATTTTGTTCTTCTCACTAGGAGAGAAGAAAAATTAACAAGGAAAGGCAGACTATAAAAGCAACAACAAATTCCACATCATAAGTAATGTATACAAAGCTTTGTCTCAGCTTTTCTTCTGAGGTACAGTAGCAAAGATCCTGCTACTACTTTACCAAAAAGCTATCTAGCCATGTGTTTTCACTGGCAACTCTGGGAAGTTTCCACACCCCAGAGAAGAATATATAGATATAAAAACAGCAAAATCAGTGGTTGTAAGTTAAATATAGAGAGGAGTTTTGAAATTAGTGAATTTGCCCAAGCCTGAAATTCAACTTTACAGCAAGATTACTGTGATAATCATAGAATGGTTTGGGTTGGAAGGGATCTTTAATATCATCTAGTTCCAATCCCCCAGCTATAGGCAGAGACAAACCCTATAATAAAAGTTGAATCTCCCATACGCCCTCATAATTTGAAATACTACTAGTTGGGTTCAAGTTTCACATAGAAGTCCCACAACTTCTCGACCTGAAAGGAAATAACAACAGTGTACAAGGACAGTATTATGCAACAGGGGAAGAATAACTCCCGTAAAATCCCTCGTGATACTACTATGCTGCAACTGGTGCTTATAAAAATGGCTATATCATACACTCTTCTATGGATAAGAAAAAAACCCACACATTTCTTCAATGCAAATCCTATTAAACTTTAATGTATTATAAAGACCTTAAATCTGTCAGATTTTAGGCTTACTGCACGTTATTATCATTTGTTTACAGCCTACTGTTTTCTTCTTCACCAAAGAATTTGTTTTTGCCTCAAGGTAACTGATATTCATCAAGATGATGTCACCTACTGATGTTACTATAGTTTCTACTCTGTATTACATTTATTTCCTTTCTATTAACGTGTTTCTCCACACAATACAGCAATTTGCAAGAAAGACACATTTCACAAGAAAAACTTAGGGTAAAAGCCAAGGTTCCTAAATTTTTACTTATAAGCATATTGACCACTAAAAACAACCTTTAGATGAAACATACAAACCCACCTAGAATGATGAAGAGGATCCAAAAAAGAAAAAAAAAAAAAAAAAAAGAAAAATCAATTGAGCTTACTCTTGTTCTAAGAAAACAACACTGGAAATGCAATCCTTTTTCTGTCTTTTTTCAATTGCTATAACACTTAGAAACTTGAAAAACATACAACAAACAAACCTGTAGTAAGATAGAACCATTCTATTCAAAGAATATTCTCATTGAAGGTAATGGATTGAAACCTTCAGGTTTAATTGCAAATCCTATTCTATTTCCTTTTTGCTCTCAATTTCAAAGTTATAAAATTACTAACAACTTGTTTACTACCTCAGAAATCAGCAGAAACACTCTCATCTGTTGTTCTCATGGAATTGGCCCAGGATCACATAAACATCAATATTTTTCTTACTTTAGATGAAAAAAAATTGTAATACTCGCTGGTTTCCTTCTACAGCAGAGATCAAGAAGGAAGAGCTGATGAAATTCTGATGCTATTAGCTCGCTGACTAAGCTCTGAATTACCCTCAGATACAAACCTTGCCAAACCAAAGCAAGATTTGATTATTGAGAGATTATCTCCCTAGCCCGTTTCTACATCATAGGTTAACAGTTTTATCATTACTGATTTTCAGCTTAACTTCTGAAGGAAAGTAGGATTATATGACAACAGTGTAGCTTGCCTGCCAATTCTCTGTCTCTTTCCTCTCTTTTTATTCAAATCCATTGTCAAAATTCAACTGAATTTGACAGAAAGGAAAAAGTCTTAGAGACAGTAAGGTTCCTACAAGTTTTGTGAAAATGAGGTGAGGTAACAACGAGTTGCACAAAATAACTCATCGGGAAACAAAAGCAAAATAAATGCCACATGCTGTTGGGAACAGATGAATGTCTTCTAGTATCATCCATACTTGCCAACAAGTACTACTCACTTGGTCTGAACTGCACTTAACGCATGCTATTTTTCATCTTCTATAAGTCTCAAGGAAAAAAAAAGAAAAACTTTGAACAGATCCTTGCAAAAGTAGGCTTTATCTGCTCAAGAAATTCTTGTATTGTAACAGGTCAGTGGAATTTTAATAATATATCAGAGGTTAAAGGGCATTTGCTGCCATACAAGAGCATACTTAAGTCAAAATAAGCAAAGCATGTGCCTGAGTTATCTGACTTTTCGCAGATATAAAATTTTGTTCTTTCAAACTTCATGACCTCTAAGAAGGTCTACAGAAGGAAAAACTTCAGATGGAAGAAAAATAGGGAGTTATA